GCTTCCTTTAACTCCATTAAGACTTTATTAACTTCAGCCTGATTTTCTTAGTAAATTTTGATAAAAGGTTTATTTTTTGCTTTCATTTATTCCTTGTTCAGCATTAGAAAGTCAGAGTCATCTAAATTCATGTTTTTTTGCAACTTATTAACCAATTGAGAAAAAACTACCAGTGCCTTATTTATTTCTTCTGAGAGAGGCAAAGTCTTGTTAATTGAAATTAAATCTGCCGAAATTTTCTTTAAATTTTGGTAATTTCTTTCTAAGTTAGCGAAATCTTGTAAAAAATAATTGTGAAAACAATTTCCGAGTTTCTGGTCAAGATATCCATTCAAAAAAAACTATTTGATTTTGGTCTCAATGGTAATGGGGTGGGCGGTTGTGATGATTGTCTAACCGCACTTTCTCTTGAGTATCATCTTTGTTAACAGCCATCAAACTAAATTTGTAATCATCTGGATATCCTTTTTTATTGATACCACGTAAATATACCAAACTAACTTTAACAATAATTATTTTGCCCGAGTTAGTGCGAAATTCTTCTTAGCGATCCAAAAGTATTTCGGACTCTATTCGCATAGTTAGTTTTTATGCGGATTTAAACTTCCTCAATTTTGCTAGATATAAACAGTGAAAACCTTAACTGCAGATTTTGTAAATTAATTACTCAATTAGAAAATGGAGTTTTCTTTCTTTCGCCAATTTTTGTAATTTTTTGAAACTTTCTATCTTTAATCGACGAGTCATATTTTCCGACTTACCCAGGATTTTGCTGATTTCTGCAAAGTTGTAATTTTTGGTGAATAATGACAAATAATTTTTCACTAAGGGTAGACTGTGAATTTTTTTTTCTTCTAAGGAGTATTTTTGCAACAATTCTAGACTAGATTTGTTGTTTAATTTCATTTTTTTCTTTAATTCCTTTTTTTCTTCTTCGGTTGCTAGATAATAAATATCCAACAAATTGGAGGGTTTTACCTTAAAAAGAAGACGAACCAACAAAATCGTTTCTCGGCTTTCTAAGGTGTTAATTAGATTATTAGTCTGAATTACCGTATCCCGGTGGCGAACCTGTTCAGCAGTTAACTCGGCATTTTCGTCATCATGCAAGGTTTCTAATAGTGAATAGGTTTTACTTTCTTTGTCGTCGTTTTGATAATCACTATCATAATAAATTACACTTTTTTTTTCTTTAACTCCACCCCCTTGGTTAATAAATTGGTTTTTGTTAATATAACTCTGAATGTATTGCTTAATTCAATATCCAGCATAAGTAGCAAAACGATTTTTGCTGTTTAAGTCAAACTTTTCAATGGCCTTGGGGAGAGAGGAAATTCCTTCGGCAGTCAATTCCTCTGGGTCAACTTTTCCACCAAAAGAGGAATATCCTTTGACAATATACTTGACCAAATTTTGATTATAGTGAAGTAGGAACCGAATGGCTTTCTTGCCTTCATTGACTTTTTTCTCTCCCAGTTTTTGTAATTCCTTTTCTTTTTTCTTTAATTCGTTTTTTAATTCTTCAATCTCTTCTGGAGTTTTTTGCTTACTTTTGCTAATCAATGATATCTATCAGCATAATTTACTTACCCAACCAGGTCGGGAAGTATTAAATTATCTCCAAAATGAGCGTCAGTTGGATAAAAAAACGATTGACCGGTTTGGTTTAGGAAGTAGCATTAACAATTGGCAGTTAAGTAATTTACTTTTTTTGCAAAAAAGTGATAATTTTTCTGCCGAGGATTTATTAGCCACTAATTTGGTCTGAATAACCAAAGATAACCGAGTTTGCGATTTTTTCCCCACCCAGCACTTAATTATCCCCTTAACTAACAGCGAAGGGAAGATCGTGGCTTTTGCGGCTCGGAAAATTGGGGAAATACTCGCCGGAGAGGGAAAATATAAATACTTGCCTAGTTATCAATACTATCAAAAATCCTCCTTACTATATAATTACCCAACCGCAAAAAAAAACCGGGCAGAAGAATGCTATTTGGTGGAAGGATTTTTTGATGTTATTAGTCTGGGTAAGGTAGGGGTAGAAAATTGTGTGGCTCTGCTGGGAACCAACTTGTCAGAAGAGCAAATTAAACTGCTAATTGAGTT